CACATGGCCTCTCAGGCTGCTCCACTGTTTGCCTGCAACCTTCTCAGAAGAAGTCCAATTTTTTTAGTGTTGACAATTACCTGTAGTCTCTACTACCCCTTTGGTTGCACACTCATAGATGGAACACAGGGACACATTTCCTGACCTTCCAGGTTTTCCTTTGAAATTTGGGTAGAAGCCTCTGTGGCTCCACACCTCTTTCTGAATAGCTGAAAATCCAGCTCAATATGAATGACACTCAGATCTCCCACCAGCTTGAAAAGTGGCCTGGCCCCCTTAGACTATGGCTGCAGTGGCCTTTGAATGCTTAGATGGTTGAACACTGGGAAACTGTTGCAGAGGTACCTCTGAATGAGCAGGGACCCTTGGGGTTCTTTTCTTAAAGAAAAGTCTTTCCAAGGAGTTTACCCATTTGTACCCTTGAGACTGCCACAGGTGACATCTGGTTACTTCCTGCTATAGTCCTAATGCAAAGTGCTTGACTTATTTTTAATACTAATCTTTATAGCAACTGTGTTCTTATTGGTCCCAACTCTACATATGCTTCCTTTCTGGCCAAATTTCAAGTTTTTCAGTTTTTTCTGCTCTGCCTTTTCTAATTCTCACTATAAATCTGGTTATAGGCAGCCATCTGTACCCATTTCAGTCTAAATGTGGGGCTGCTTGAAATTTCCTCCACCCGATTAATTAGTTCACCAAGTTTAAATTCAGCTTTAACCAAAGTCTTGGTTTCTGGACAAAATGTAAATTTTTTTTGCTAACATAGAACATGCATGTCTTCTAGTCCATTTCCTAACAGAGTCTTCATTCCTCCATTGCTACTGAGCCTGGACTTTGCTGTCCACATACCTATCAGTGTATTTTGCTTCTGAGCTCTGACCCATCTTACACTGCTCACAACATTCTAGGGAGTGGTAGTGAACCTATGGGACACATGTTATTTGTTTCTCTTTTAAGACAAATGATGTTAATGTATGAGGTTAATGTAAAACCTCAGTATTAGCATGGTGGTCTATGTCTGTCTAGCATTTGGGAAGCAGAGGTAGAAGAATTGTCATGAGTTTGAAGCCAGCCTGGGCTTCAAATTGAGTTCAGGCCAGCCTAAACTACACAGCAAGATTTTATCTCAAGGGCTGGCCAGACAACTCAGCGGATTAAAGTGCCTGCTTAAGCAGACGCAGGGGCTGGGGTTTCGATTCCTGGGCCTGCCGTGCTGGCCCTGCCTCTGGGGTGTGCTGAGATGGCAATTGAGAATGGGCATGGTAGCATGCACCTGTAATCCCAGCACTTGAGAGGCTCTAAACAGGAGGATCACTATGAGTCCGATCTATGCAGTGAGAACCTGTACCCCCTGTCCAAAAAAAAAAAAGATTTTATCTCAAAACAAAAACAAAATAATAACCTGAAAGAGTAAGCAAGATCCAAAATGTACAGTAGATTTTGTAAAATGGGAAGAACCGTCAAAAAAGAAAAAATATATATGATAGCTAAGATAGTTGTATTAGTGATTTCTCTTAACTCATTGAAAGATTTGTGCTAATATTGTTTGGACAATTAAATGCTGATATCTCATACTCTGAGTAACTAATTTAAAGATAATAATACATGATTTATTAACCACCGTCATGCTCCTATTATCATCCTATTTTTTTTCTCTTTGAAAATTTAAGAACACAGAAAAAGAAAATCCCACCTCAATATTCAGGTTTAACTTAGGTTTTGGCAATTAATAAGTGGGTTTAGGTTCAGTTTGGGCACTCATCTCTAAAAGATTTGTCATTATTGGTTTTGGATTTCCCAGCCTACCTCACCAAACTTCTCCAAACTCCTCCCACAAACCAGTTCCAGAGGCTTCAGAAACACATGGTCAGTTACAGTCACAGTAATGACTCCACGTCTGGCAAGTGATTGGACTTCACCAATCAATTCCCTATTGCTGGCCCAAATGATTTGATAGCCACGACTTAAAGGATGAGAGGTTTGTTTGGGCTCATGGCTTTCAGAGTATTCAGCCCATGGTTATCTGGCTCCAAGGCAGAAACTTATAAAAGAGGAAATATGCTCACCCCATAGCAGCCATGAGACAGAAGAAATAGAGGACCTGGGGACAAGAACACCTACCAGGTCACACCTCAATGAGTCACCCCACTGGGCCAGGCCCCACCTCCTACCTGCACATTCAGTTATGACCTCATCAATGGCTTAATCTACCATTGCCCCCATGATCCAATCACCTTCAAAAATCCCTATTCAATACATGATACTTTGGAGGAATGTTTTAGATCCAAATCATAACAGATATGTTAAGTCCAGGAACTCTATAGGCATTACCATCAGGTGGACAACTAGATATACTATCATGGAAACCAAGGAAAGATTCAGCCTGGAGAATAAAGTTGGTGTTCAAAACCTGAATCTTTTTTTTTTTTCTTTGTATTTTAGGGAAGGGTCTACAGGGTGTTCAGGGTCTCATTACTAGATTGGACTTGTAGTGATCCAGCTGTTTACAGCCTCCCAAGAACTGGGATTACAGGCATGTGCCACCATGCCCAGTTCTCAACCACTGTCTCAGTGCGCCCCGTGGGGTGGGGCCAGCACAGCAGGTCCAGGGATTGAGCCCAGCTCCTGTGCCCTTTTGCAGATGCTTAATCTGCTGAGTTATTTGGCTGGCCCCCAAAACCTGAATCTTGATGACATAAAAAGAGAGTAAATGCAGACAAAGAAGTCCATGGTCAAATTATGGAGCACTTCCAGGTCAAGTAGCAGAGAGAAGGAAAAACAGCCCAGGGATTGTGAAGCAGCAGTGATGAGGAAGGAGAGAAACTATGTGTGCATGTGTCCTGGAAGCCAAGAAAATAATGTATCTCAAGGCCGAGAGAGTAGTTAACAGGGTCAAATGCTGCTGATAGGTGAACTGAAGCTGAGAGGTGACCTGGGATTTAGTAGTATATCCTGGGGAACCTTGACAAGTGTAGTTACTGTGGAGTGATAGGGGGGAAAGCCTGATTCAAGCAGATTCGAGAGAGACTGGGAGGAGAATTTAGAGGCAGCAAGTACAGGCAATGCAAAGAACTTTGCCATAGAGGGGAGCAGAGGAGTGAAACAGACACACGGTGAATTCGATGAGTGAAATCACACCATGTGTGTGTATTGATGAATTGATATAGTAGAAAGGAAAAAATGAAATGGTGAGAAAAGACACAGTCAGTTATTAATTACACAAAAAAACAGAATGTGTGACTCATCTGAAAGGATTTAATTCTATTATTTGAAGCACTAAAATGTCCATGTAAGTTCTGAAACATCATGAACAGCCATAAAAATCCACCACCCACTGCAAGGGTTAGGCTACTACCAACCACATCCATCTATGTGCACCTCCCCCTCCCACCTCTGCCTCTTAGAAGAAAGCAACTTCCATGAATTTTGAGTTTGTTTCCTTGTAAAGTAGATCCTTCTTTGCTACTTACTATTATATTTATGGACTGATAAATCTGCCTCATAACTTGGCCTCCTACAGACAGATGTCAGATCATCTCGATGAGACACCATCATAAAATTCCTCTTTAACATTTAATCTATAGCTCTAAAAATTTCACTTTTTTATGTTCTATCCCCAGCTGGTTACTGCTTTGCTTGAAAAGCCTGTTCTTTTGGCTCAAAATATTATTTCTATTCAATCATGTCAATGTGGTTTATTCTGCACACCTTTCTGTGTGCTCACACAACAGACCCCAGTGATCAAAGCATTCTTTTTTCTTCTGAAGGATGGATGCACCTGCAGCCCAAAACACACCTTGGCAGTCAGGTGCCATTGCCAATACCTGATGGCTCATGGAGGCCTTGGAAGGGAGGGAAGGGAAGGGATTAGATGCCTAGGTTTTGTCTGTGGGTCACTGGCTGCCCTAGCTCTTCCAGAGCTCTCCAGGAGTTCAAGGATCTGCAGTGCTTTGACAAATGCCAGCAAGGCGAGCCATGTACAGATAGAAAAGCCTTCTGCATACCTAATGAAAACCCAGCTCCCCCACTTGCTCACTGAGGCTTGAAATTGCTTTAAGGAGAGACAATGACTTTCATTTCACAACTAAGGCAACCTTTGAAGACTCTGGGTAAGTACATTGATTTAGACCAATGCACATTGCATTGATGACTGAAAGACTGGTTGTTGCGATGGACACCTTGAAAATGAGTGCGAAGTGACAAAAGGTGACACAGCGAGATGGGGCTTTTCTTGCCTCCTGAACTTAGAACAATCTTGAAATCAGAAGAGATGGAGCCAAATTTGGCCTTATTGTCAGCTGTTTGACAATAGGCAAGTTTTGAACCTGTTTTCTTTTCCTAAAATGAAGGTAGCACCCACTTCCAGAGGTACTGATGTGGAGACCATTGTGTTTGCAAAAGCAGCCTGCCAGTCCCATATTGAACAGAGCATTTTGTTTGCTCCCTTGTGTCCCAGGCATCTCGGGCTCTCTTCCTCTTCAGTCTAACCCCGTCTTCCTGTGTTGGGGTGACAGAGCTGAAGAGTGAGGAATCTGGAAGGCACCCTGGGTTCCAGCCCCATGACTTGCTGATCAAGTTACAGTACTGAATGCTCTGCGCACAGTCCTCTCATCCATAAACGGAGACAACAGTACTTACTTCCTCTGGGTGACAATCAGGATGAAATAAATCAATACACGGAACACACTTAGAACAGGTCCCCAGTACCAATAAAAAACTGTTTAAAAAGGCAGCTAAGGATTGCTACTGACTACCCTCGGGGCCTTTCCCTCACCTGCCCACTGTCACCACTAACGGATCACGTGAAGCTCTTCTACTTCTGCCTCTAAAGCCACACAAGCCCACTGTAAGTTGAGACAAGGGCCCCAGGGTTCCTAGTGCCCCACACCCCGGCCTGGCCCCTGGCAGAGCCCAGCGATCTGCCTCCCTCCGGCGGCCACGAGTTCCAGCGCGGGGAACTTTGTGACGTCGTCGCGCAGGGCTCCGCGCGCAGTGGACGAGAAGGCGCAGCGCAAACAAGGCCGGGTCGCGCCCGCCGGCCCGCGCTCCGGTCTCCCCTGCCTGGCACCGCCCTTGCCGCCCAGGTCCCGCTGCTCTCCCTCCGCCAAGGGTGCCAGGCCTTGAAGCTTTCCTCACACCTCCTGCCTGAGCCCAGGCGCGGGGTGCCACCTGAAGCCACACAGCCAGTTTCCCAGCGAGCCTAAGGTAGCAACCCCGGAGCAGGGGAGGAGTGGGGGACCGAGGACGAGGAGGGAGGGGAGCCCCCCAGGGTCCTAGGGCCCAGAGTGGGCTAGTCTGAGGGACCAGCCCCTCCCCAGGAGCCACCTGGATTCTAATGCCTCCTAGCTCCCAGAGCAAAGGGAGGGTGCAGGAAGCTAAGGTGCCCATAGGGGAGAGCAATGTTTTTTGACCAAACTGTACGTGCATTTGGTACGCAGAAGTACTATGTTATGTCTTACACGTAGAATAGAGATTTGGAAACAGCATCTGAAATGACAGCCTACTGAGGAGCAGACCTGTTTTTTTAATGTAACATGGATATAACATCTTTGGAGAAACTCTAGGGAGGACCAGTGGTCTGGCTAACCATTATAAGCTGACACCCCATTCATTCATTTTTACCAGTATGTACTGAACACTTGAGTTGCTGGCACTGGGCCGAGCACTGGAATTTTAGAGTGAACAAAAACTGACCATTCCTGCCCTCCACTTTGCAGTCTGTGAGGGGAATGTGTTAATCACAGAATCTCACAAATTATATAAAAGTAGAGGTAAGTGCCTCTAAGGAGAAAGTATGGGTAAGTGATGTCCTGAGATGGTAAAATGGAACTGACCATGAGGTCAGGAAAGATGGAGTCCAGTTCTGAGAGAAGAATTAAACTGTGAAAGTAGGGAGTGAGTTCCAAGCAAGATAAATCAGATGTTTGAAACTTACCCCACCTCCTGTTCCAAACCCAAATAACAGGTTGTTGCCTGCCCTTGGTTTCAAAAGTTGTTCACACACACTTTCTCTGAGATCCTGGAGACTTTTATTCATGTAACTGGAGATTCTCATTTCTTTTAATTGGAGCCCTGCTCAGCTCACACCAATAAAATCTAATGAGAAATTCCAGAAACCAGCCTATAGTTGATATTTGATAAGATCTATGTTCATCAGCACCTAGTCAGTATGTGTTGGCTTGCGGTTCCCCATTGGGAGGCAAGTAGGTTTCGCTTAAGTAAGAAATATATTGAATTGTAAGAGTTGGAGGTGAGCCCTAGAATGTCTAATTGAAGGAAGTCCACTGAACCTAGAAGGTAAAGAATGAAAAAGAACTTTACAAAATGTTGGTATAGTGAAATGTTAAGATAGAGTGTACCTTTCCTCAACTTTTTCAGATGTGATGTAGACAAATGGCCCAAAGGCAGAAAGCTGGGTTTTATTGCCTCTCCAGCTCAACAATTCCATGATTCCAAGTCTTTGTGACTCAAGAGTGCATGGAACTCCTGAGAATAAGGAAACAGAGGAGGAGAATTTGATCTGACCCACCTTCAATGATCTCTCTCCATGTCCTTAATGGCACCACTATCCCACTACCATGTACCCAGTCATTCAATATGGAAACTGGGAGTTACTCTGTACTAATCCTCCTCCTCCTCCTCCCTTATTAGTTACTGAGTTCTATGGATTCTCTTTCCTAAATTCTGCGTTTTAGCCCTCCCTATTTCAACTACCTTCCAAAGCAATGAAGCTTTCAAGATTTGTCCCCAAAGAGCTGCCATATTGCTCTAACTATGCTCCCTGCCTGAAGCCTCATCCAACTCTTTTTGGCCCACCTTCACAGGTGCCAGTTAATACATACTTCAGAGTCCTACAACGAGAAACAAATCATCTAGTAATTTTAACAGGGAAGCTTCAATATAAATACTGTTTTTACAATAATAGGATTGGAGTAATGAAGGACTGGCTAGTAAGACATAAAGCAAGCCAGGCATAGTGGCACATGCCTGGAATCCCAATACTCAGGAGATTGAGGCAGAAAGATTGTAAGTTCAAGGCCAGCATGGCTTGTACAGCAACTTTAAGCTACCCTGGACTACATATTGATGTCTTGTCTCAAATACAAAACAAAACAAAACAATAACAACAAAAGAGACATAAGGCAAGACCTTCACAGAGACAAGGAGAAACTATTACCCTTGAGACAAGTTGAGACCTCCTCCAGAACTTGTTGCAGAGAGCATAGCTGCAGCTTGCTAGAGGCAGAGAAATTGCAGAGGTTATAGACGGGCAGAGTTCACATACTAGATGCCCAGAAAACCATTTGTACAAAAGTTACTCACTGGTAGAACATTGCTACAAAACTTTCCAGGGAAGTTGCCTGGGTATATTAGTCAGCTTCACATCACTATAACAAATATCTGAAGCAATTAACTTTAAAAAGAAAAGTTTTATTTGGGCCTATAGTTCTGGAGCTTCCAGTTCTAGATCAAGGGACCCCACTACTTTGGGCCTCTGGTGCTGGCAACATCATGGTGTGTGTGTGGGGGGGGGTGGATCATGCCACTCACCTCATAAGCCAAGAAGCAAAGAGAAAAAAAAGAATCTGGGTTCCTATGACTCCCCTCAGGCACACTCCCAATGACCCAAGCACCTCCCACCCTGCAAGCCACGTGTCTCAAAGGTGTCTCAAAGTTCCCACCGCCTAATGGCATCACACTGGGGCCCAAGCTTTGCTTTTTGCACATGAACTCTGGGAGTTCTTCATCCAAACACAGCACACAGGAGAATCTGCTATACTGTGGGCCTGTACTGCAGCAGTGAGACACTCATGAAACCACATACTGAAGCTTCTCCAGAGATTGGAAAAACTGTGTGTTGCAGAATCCCAGCACTGGAGGCACTGCAGATTCCTGGATCCTAGCAGGGGGGCTCCACCAAAACCAGCAAGATAAATCACTTTCTCCTCCAGTGTCCTTTCTCTGAGTACCCTGTACTGACAAAGCTTAATATTATGACAGCTTGCATGGAAGAAATATTTAAAGGACCTACTCCTATTTAAACCACAATAATGCAGGATGAATCTGAAGTTGAGAGACAATAAACTGATAACAGGTTTATAAAGATAACAGCAAAATCTGATTGTCTCAGTTACTTTTTACTCATTGCTGGGACAAAATGCCCAACACCCAAAATTAAGCAAGGAAAGGTTTATTTAGCTCACAGGTTGTGGAGGTTTCAGTCTATACTTGGTTGGCTCCCAAGAAGATTGGCACATGACAGAGAGCAGCAGTTCATGGCAGCAGAAAACAATGAAGAGCAGAAGAAAGGGCAGCAGTTGCGACTTCTAGCCAGCTTCTCTCCTCCTCATAAGAAAGGGCAGCAGTTGCGGCTTCTAGCCAGCTTCTCTCCTCCTCATAAAAAAGCTACCCTGGTGGTGTAGAACTCACACAATGCCCATGTCCTCCTCTTGCACAGGATGAGGATGTTTACAAACTAAGAATCCTGGCTCTCTTCTGAGTCACTTAAGCTTCTAAACTTCTCAAGTTGACCCAATGTATTAACCAGTACAGTCCATCCCTTGTCAACTTGGCAACCAGACATGGCTTTAAGCCAGTTTCCAGGTATGTAGACATGCTTATTAACATTTCACAACTTGGACATTATTACACAACTTTAGTAGTCTTTAATAATCACTATTAAGAGGCAGGATCACTATGAGTTCAAGGCCAGCCTGGGCTCCATAGTGAATTTCAGGCCAGCCTGAATTAGAAACAGCCTGTCTCAAGAAAAAAAAAAATCACTATTAAGTCTATCAACATTATATTATATGAGAAGCATAACATTCTGTTCTTGGTCCCCCCAAAGACTCATGTACATCCCTTTATGCAAAAGGCACTTTAGTCTATCTGCAAGAGTTGCCAAACTCCTAACAGTTTTAACAATTGAAAAGTCCAAGTTCCATGATCTAAGGCAAACTTTTAGCTGTGAGCCCCTGTACAAATGAAAAGTTAAACATTTGCAACATTCAAAGGCATAAGATAGACATTACCATCCCAAAAAGTATACACAGGAGGATACAAACCATGGGGACCAAAACAAGACCAAAAATCCAGATGGGCAAACATTAAGTCCTGTAGTTCCAAGTGGAACATCCAAAGCAACCTGTAATGAGTTGTGAGCTCCAAAAGCCATACATGGCTCCACCTATATGGAACTTCAGCTTTTCTCTGAGGCTAGCTTTGCTTCCTCTTTGTAGCTTTTCTCAGACAATATAGGTTCCTGGCTTTTTCAAACTTCTGGGGTTTCCACTAAATAGGTTTCTCACAGATTTACACACTACCCTTTCAGGGGCACATTGCCTGGCTTCCCACGCCTTCTGAAATCTAGGTGGAAGCCTTCTTACCCTCAGAACTCCTGCATTCTGAATGTGCTTAAAACCAACCCCACAAGGGTGATGCCAAGGTCTGCTGCCAGCTAGAGCAGTAGCCAGGCTTTCTTTTCTCTCGGTTTTAGAAGTCAAGTGCTCAGATTGCTAAGCACTCTGACCCTGATTCCCAGGAACAAATTCTCAATGTCACCTTTCTGGAACTTGGTGTGGTTGCTGCCTCCATTCTGGAACATGGGGCTCTGTGGCTTTCTCTTCAAAGCAAAGTTCTTCATCCTTGTGATTCTGAGGCTGCAAAGGGTGAGAACCTGCCACCTCCTGTAATGCCCGGCATCTTTTCTACTCTCCTGTTCCTTCTGGGCAATGGAGATCTCAGCTCTATCTTTGCAGTTCACAGTTTTCCTGGTAATTTCTTTGTGGCCAAATTCACAACATTTTTTTTTCAGAACCGGGGATTGAACTCAAATCCTTGCATTTGCTAGTCAAGCGTTTATCCTACTGAACAATCTTCTCAACCCCGAAATTCACAACATTTTAAATCAGCCTGCTGAGCTCTTTGCTCTTGACTCAACATATATCTGGCTAAAAGCCACCAACAATAGCCCTGCTACTGCCTCAACATTCAACTGCCTTGAGATTTCTTTTGCAAGATTAACTAATCTACTGCACTTAACCTCACTCTCAGGCAAAGTCATTGGACAGGAGCAAAATGCAGGCAAACTTTCTGCCAAGCCATAGCACAAATCATCTGCAGTCCAACAACCAATGCAGTCCTTCCCAGCAGAAACCTTCCCAGCCTGGTCTTTACAGGCAGGATTTCTATCACCATTCTGATCTTCTGAGCTCTGACCAGAATCTCTTATACAGAAGAGCCAATGGCATTCTAGCTCTTTGCTAGTATATGACATCTCCAAATATTTCCTATCTCTTCCCATAAGCCATTCCCAAAAGCTGGTGAACAACATGGTCAGGTAGTCACAGCAACAACACCTGACCATATGTCTGGGAGGCCTTAGAAAAAGGTGTGGAGCTGTCAGAGGCATATTGAGTTCAAGGAACTATAATTATAGAGTGCTAGAGTGGATGAATTGAGAGTCTTTGGGTCTAAAGTTGAAAATATAGCCCAATGGGAGAGCTTCCTGCTACCCTGCACCGGCAGGACCTGCCAGTCCAAGCCCAGGTGCAGCGTGGGTGAGACCCTCTTCCACGCCCTTGGGATCCCCCCACCACTCTGCAGCACCCCCACCACCCTGCCCACCCTATAGGAATTTCTGCTGTGTTCTGGGAAACCCCAGATCCAGTCCTAGTCCAGACCTGGTGAATGTGTAGGAGAGCTTCCTCTCCCCCCTACTCCAACTTAGCCCCTCCAGACTCAGGTCAGGCCTGGCATACAGGCCTGGGGT